TAAATGGTGATGTTTCTTGTTTTGATTCGATCCGATGAAATGAACATACTATGAATCATCAATGAGTTATCATCATTAAATTATTATTATTACTATTCTCATATGTGAAATTGCATTCCCTTATCCACCCACTATTTATTAAGATATAAATGTGACATATAATATGTGTTCGTAATCTGATGATGAATATTTGTTTTACGCTCATACTAATAATAGTAGTAATGGTGATAACAGTAATAATACATCGAGATATACGTTTGTAGAATATAATTTGTAAATCGGAGTTAGTTGTACGTGCTGGAGATGTATGTTATATGTGTAGGTGTCGTGTAGATTGAGTGGCCTTGTTGTCATCATTTTCGTATGCAGTATTTTGCATGTACTTGATCTCCTCTTATATGTACATGTACATATCAGCAATTTATTTTTTAGGCCGATCTGTTTTTAAGTTGTGCAATAATTGAATAACCTATTAATTGTATATGTATTATGAAGTGAAATGATTTAAAAGTGAAAGAAATTTTAGTTTTACGTATACATTTGTGGTTTAACGAAGAGATATGAGTTGGGATATGCATTACGACTTTTGATTTAGTCGTTGATGGATAGTAATAATAATGTGATTTCTGAGGGAAACAACTTTGCGGTTGGCTTGAAACATTGATTGACAATGATTTGTGAGTAATATTTTCAGTATCGAATTTGGATCCGATCTATAAATATGAATTTCGAATAGTATCTGCGAATTCGTTCGGTTTTGGCCTGCCGTCAATGCCTTCAACCATCGTACAGTTGAAATCTCACTATGATTCAACCACAAACATTGGTTCGTCTTTATTTCTTGTGATTTTAATTTAAATCTTATGATAATGATTTGTATGTTATATTTTCATTTTACTGCAAGTCATAATGAATGAGACGATAATAATAATAGTTACAATAATAGATGAGATATTGAAATGTCAGGTGAATGGCGTGGTACTATACCGGGTCGTCCGTATGTTTGTAGAATGGACTCTGATCGTGTGACACTTGAATGGGCGCCTGCAGTTGCCGATCCGGATGTGGCACCTGTCGCTGGTTATGAGGTATTTATTACTGTTATTATATTTATTGTAACTATTATTATTATTTTTATTATTATTGTTATTATTATTATTATTACTACTATTACTATTATTATTATTATTATTATTATTATTATTATCATTATTATTATTATTGTTATTATTATTATTGTTATTGTTATTGTTATTTTATATTTAGGTTGAGTACCGTACGATCGGCATGAGTGATTGGCTACAATCGAATGATTACTTAGTGGGAGTGTGTCATTATGAAGGTTTCTTTTCGTGTTTATAGTCATTAATTTTAGGTTGTTAGGAATGAGGTTCGTTGAGCAATTTTATTAATGGCTTGTGGGTACATGGCTGGATGTGATCGCTTGTTTTCAATGATTAGGCAAAAAAGTAGCAATCGCCATCCGCAAATCATTCACAAAATTGACGAATAATCTTTGGTAACACTCAAATAAAGCGATATTATAAGGTAGAAAAAAGAGGTATTGATTAACGATGAAATGCGTTCAGTGCAAAATTTACGACCGAACGGTGAATATGAATTTCGTGTGCGTGCACGTAGCGCAGACGCAGTTTCGGACGCAAGTCCATCGTCGGGAATCGTTCGTATCAAACCGGCTGTACCGTCCAGAGGCGTGGGAACATCTTCGATCCAGTCGGCTATTGATCTTTGCCCTCCCGGTCAACCGCAGGTTACTCATCAATTTCATTAATTATTCCTCCTTTTTTTCATGGAGTTATTTTTCTGAAATGCATTTATTTTAATGAGGAGAAATTACCTTTTTAAGTTTTCAGTTTACAGAAACAATCAGACTTCATCCCAGGTCATAAAGTTTACCATCCATCCATTTCTCAAAAATCAAAGTGAAAAAAATCAGAATTGTAGGTTGAAGAACTGGATACAGATTGGGTGAAACTGCGTTGGGATGAAGCTGGAGAGCCGAACGACGCCGAATACGAGGAAAAGCTGACGTATATTGTTGAATATCGAGAAATTGGTGACCCATTATGGTACACGGCGAATACAACACCTATTCATGGTACTACATATACAGGTTGGTACGGAGAGGGACTGGTTCTAGTTATATATAAAAGATGGTGTAGGGAAATTCAGTTGATGAATTTAGGAAGTGAATTTGAACAATGTTGAGCAGTCAAGATTATCGTAGATGATAAAGCAAACCAGTTAGAGGTCATCAAAATATGCCTTTTCTGAGCAGATTAAATGATTGACTTTAGATATCTTATGGTTCGGATCGCTTCATGATTTATTATTATTATTAGTATTATTATTTATTATTAGTGTTATTATTATTATCATTATTGTTATCGTTATTATCATCATTATTATTATTATTAGTGGATGAATGCGAATGTGATTGATAAGGGGGAGTGCAGAAAGTCTGGATGAGTCAGCAGTTATGGTAGTGATAATAAAAATATCTTCAACAAGAACGAATGATTTAGTGAGTCGTTTACGTGCCAGTTCAACGTATGAATTCCGAGTGTTGGCCTACTGCGAGCAAACCGGTAGTTATTCATTGCCATCGCCATCCTCAGAAATAGTGCAGCTAAGACCGACATTGAACAAGCCAACCACCTCAACTCTACCACCTTCTAAACCCCTTCCGCCCGAATACGTCGATTTCGAAGGTACCGATCGTGTCACTCTATGTTGGTTCCCTGCAGCTAGCTCGTTACCCATTGACGTCAGTTCATTATTATTATTATCGTTATTATTGCTGTTACTATTATTACTAGCATTTTGTTATTGTTTCACTATTCTGATTTCATTCTACTGGTTTCATTCTATCGCATTTCTTAATGTTTAAAATTTTAGCTGCTCCATTACAACGATTTAGTGATCAATTTAATTTCATTTTTCGGTTTATTTTAATTCGTCATTTAAAGATCTTCCTTCTTGTTTCATATAGAAGTTCATTATTCATTTATACTTTCAAAGATATTCATTTAATTTATTCAAATGTCATTTTGAAGGGTTATGACGTTGAATTTCGTGATTATCAACAAGATTCTGCGTGGTATCGTGTCAACGAACTGCTGATACACTCATGTAAAATGACTGGTTAGTTATTGGTGATTGTTTTATTGTTATTAATTATTATTACTATTATTATTATTATCATTATTATTATTATTATTATTATTATTATTATTAGAGATGGGCAATAGCGCGCTTTTCTGCTGCTGGCGAATAGTGATAGTGAAAAGTGGACTAATTTTGCTTAATCAGCTCTTCAGCGATAGCGTTCCGCTGATGTTTTGGCCATAATAGCGATAGCTTTTCCTTTTCAGCGGATCAGTTGCTGCTTCTGAGTAGCGTGCCCATCTCTGGTTACTATCATTATTGTTATTATTATTATTATTGTTATTGTTATCATTATTACTATTGTTATTGTTTAATTACTGCAGTCGGTGATCTGATAGTTGGTCATGAATATCAGTTTCGAGTCATCGCGAGGAATGCAATAGGTTACTCAGAACCGTCAGATGCATCACCACCCATTTTTATTGGAGCTCCAGCTGCGAGTTTGTTTTTATTTGTTTGTTTTTCTTTTTCAGATTATTTCAGTTGTTTATTATTTATTGTTTCTTGTTATCACTTATTCCTTTTCAGATTCATTCTTTTATTTATTTTAGATGGAGGGGATACAAAATACATAGAAGCTGAACGTTATGGGCCAGTACCATTATTACAAGATGAAATGGTACGTGAATCGCCTCCCTTACCAGATAGAGATGACTCGCCCCCGCCGATCAACCGAAGGCATCTTATGAAAGGAAAAGATGGATGTTAGATAGCTTCATTATTTTGTTGTTGTTGTTTATTGTCATTATTATTATTATCACTGTTACAATGATTATTATTGTTAATTTTTGCAGTACATTGGCGTGACCCAACTCTTCGAGAGGTGATCGAATATTTAGAAAGTAAGGATAAGGTGGAACAGTTGAATGCATCTGGTTATTTACAGCATTTAACTTTTAATGATAATGCTATTAAGGAGGAAACAAGGTTGGTTTGTGATAATAATAATAATTTTTGCTTTGCTTTTTAAATTTATGCACAGATCGTAATATGCATTTATTTTAGAGAGTTAAAAGGAATACCGAAGTTGGTGAAATTATTGGATAGTGATGTGAGTGATATACAAAAGAACGCTTGTGGTTGTTTGAAGAACTTGTCGTTTGGCAAAGAGAACGATAATAATAAGGTTACTTATGGGATGATAATAGTGATGGTGGTAATAATAATGGTGATTATATGATAGCTAGATGATATGATTAATGATGTTGCTAATAATAATAATGATTTCGAAAAAAATAATGATAACAGTTAGTTATTTATTTTTTCATTCAGAGAGCAATAAGAGCAGCCGGTGGAATTGCGGCTCTCACAACATTACTGACGCAGACATCGGACGCACATGTTCGTGAAGAAGATACGGCCGTTCTGTGGAATTTGTCAAGTTGTGATGTTAGCTTATTTCTTGTTTGTTATAGTAATTATGAATAATACTCGTAAAAGTGGTTGTTGGATGTGAATGAAAACTGTTAATGATTATGATATACTGATGTTTTTACAATAGATGGAAGTATTGAGGTGTCTGTTGCAAAATAATAGTAATACAGGATTTGAAAACGTCAATTCTTGATCAATGTTCTGATGCGATCGTGCAAAGTGTAATCGTACCCGGCTCGGGAATCGACAATCCTCCACCAGAACCTGAGCTAAGTCGATCCAATTCGAACGTTTTCCGGAACGGAACTGGTGTTTTGAGGTTTGTTTAACAGTGATAATAATAATAATAACTCTAATAAACGATTTTCAGGAATGTGTCTGCAGCCTCAGTGAATGCGCGTAAGATGCTTCGAGCTTATCCGAGACTAGTGGATAGTCTGGTACATTTCCTGTCGTGTGCAATTCTCAGTAATCACGTCGATGCTCGTACTGTTGAAAATGTTGTTTGCATACTCAGAAATCTTAGTTATAGGTGTGTATTTCATTGTTATTGTCTTTATTATTGTTGATGTTATTGTATGAGATATTGTTAAAGGATACAAGAAGTGGAGGATCCGAATTATGATCCTCGAATGGGTTCGTCGGAATCAGGCGATCGAAGTGCTCGTGAACGAAGTCGATCGGCACCGTCAGGCAGTCCGAAACCACGGAAAAAAGATGCAAAGAAGAAGAAAAAAGCGGTGTTAGGTAATAATGATCCAATGAATCAACGTTTCGGTTCTGTAACGCAATCACCTTATGCAACTGTTCGTTTGTTTATTCGTCACCTTTTTGTATTCTGTTTTGAAAAATTCATTCATAAACATTTAATAAAAAACGAAATTTGTTGTAGTGATAATATGTTACACCGAAGTTAGCTTTGCTTCACTTCAGTTTTAGATTAAGCAAACTTTTAAAATTGGTCAAAAAAGTTTGGGAAAATTTGAAGTTGAGTAAAGTAAAATAAAGTTTAAAACTGATTGTTGACCGGACTGTGAACGTTTCATTTGGTTTACTTTTTAACTTGGATTCATCAATCAATCAAGTCATTCGTATGTAAATAATGTCCTTATTAGTTGTTTTCGTTGTTAGTTTTGTTATTATTTGTTTTGGTTGAGGGTGCCGAATTATTATGGCAACCGGAACTAGTGAAGTTATATTTGAAGTTATTGCAAGAATCGTCGAATTCGGACATACTCGAGGTAATCTTTTGATTCTGGTTTATTATTTATTTATGCGCTTCTTGATTGGTTGATACTGTTGGAGAAGGATATTATTATTATTATTATTATTATTATTATTATTATTATTATTATTATGCTGTTGAGAAGGCTCGTTGTGTGGACGAGGCTTGGTAACTATTGATATTGATGGATATAGATTCATTCATTTGAAGGCATCAGCGGGAGCAATTCAAAATCTGGCAGCATGCGACTTCGAGCCATCTGTCGCGGTTCGTGCGTGTGTACGTACCGAAAAGGGTTTGCCAGTTCTGGTTGAATTGCTGCGATTGAATGATGACAAAGTGGTGTGTGCTGTCACTACCGCACTTCGAAATCTGGCTCTCGATCAGGTGATTGTTATTATTATTATTGTGGTTGTTGTATTGTTTTTGCCTTCCTTCTTATTAGTAATAATTATGATTTAGCGAAATCGAGAGCTGATTGGTAAATACGCAATGAAAGATTTGGTTTCAAAACTACCAAGGCCTGATCAAAAAGCTCGTGACGGTAGTGTAAGTGATGCGACGATTGGAGCTGTTTTGGGTATTTTATTCGAAACTGTCAAACATTCGGCTGATTTTACCAGGTTTTTATTGTTATGTTTATTGTATTTATGTGTTTATCCTGTCCATATGACGATGTCGTTTATTCGTTTTTCTCGGATGTCAATTAAAATCGTTTAGGAATGTTCATGAATGTGGTGGTACTGAGCGATTACGATACCTGGCTAGATCTCATCCAATGTATAGTGCACGAATATGTAAATATGCTTCGCAGGTTTGATTTCTCAGTGACTATTGAAACAACAATGATAATTGACAATAAAGTATTATCGTGCGTATTATCAGTACCATTATATGATGCATTTGAACTGATAGAGATAATATATTAATGTTACTGATAGTAGTAATGGTAAGAACAATAAGCATTGTGCGTTCAAGGTACTTTACGTGATGTGGCAGCATAAAGAGTTACACGACGGTTTCAAGCGAGGAGGTTTGAAAGAGTCCGATTTCTATTCTGGAACAACGTCGCGCGCACGTGATTCAACCACACTGGCTAGGCCGATCTCATCACAAGGCGCCGAAAGACCGGCGAATTTGAGGAGTGAAAATATGGACGACTCAGGAAGTGGTGGTGCTGCAACAGGCCGATACGGCACTATGGGAAGCACTTTCTCTGTAAGCATTTGGCTTAACTCTGTTCTCTTCTATTTCACATTGTTGGAGTTATCGAATGACGAGGTGACATTTCATTGATGATTCGGGGTAACAATCATTGCACACTTGATTTATTGTCAGCCGAAAAGTGCCTGTTGACGATGTGCTGTTCCAAGTTCACGATTCCAGTCATTTGAGTGAACTAACGATGAATTTGCAGGTGGGTGGCGGAGGTTTATCATCTAATCGAGAAACAGCGATGAAGATGTCATCACCGGATTATTCGACAGCTTCGGCAGGAGGTCAGACAACGTCTTACACGGATCGTTATTCAGTGCCACCACAACAACAGCAACAACCATCCAGTAGAAGCGTAACACCGCAGTCTGCAACATCCCATCATCCACCACTTCTAAACACCTTTCAACAGCAGCAACAGCAACAGCAACATCAGTTAACTCGAGTACAAGCGACTGCATCACCTTCCATGTCACAACATTATGCTACATCACAAACTTTACTTCATCAACCGGTTAGTTCGTTTCTTCATTACGTTACCACTTTACTTTGTATTTTCGTTCATTTTTCGAACTCTCACTTAGATATTTATTCAATTATCTTTTAGGCATCATTCGTTTACTCATTCACAAAGTTTATTCATTTATTTTACAATCAATTTTCACATTTGAGTGCCTTTAACGTGCAGTTCAATAGAAACGTAAACCATACTGCGTTACGATCGGTTCAAAAGTACATGGTGGTCAATTAATTAAGACTAAACGGATCATATTAGACGGTTATTTCACCATTCCAGAGTATTATCACTACCGCAACACCAACAAACGACAACAACAAGAACGCAGAATCGTGCAGTTGTATTGAGAGCTTCTTTAGCGTTCATCAGCAAAGCATTTGATTGTTGAGTGTGTATGTAGATTGATTGATTGATTGATGGATGGATGAAGTGGTGGATGCAGTGAGTAGATGCATTAGTGATATACTGTATTGAGTCACTGATAAGATTTGTTATTAGTAAGTTGCAAAAGAATGTTTGTGTAACGATCGCTAATGTGCGTGTGAAATGAAGAGAATGCTGTGTTTAGCCTGTTGGTCCACTGGCTTAATGTTGTGCGACTACCTTTTCCATTAGGCAATTAAGAAAGTTCGTTCGGCAACCAGGCCAATGTGATGCCTGGCCAGAACTTTAGTATACGTTCGAGCATCACTTACAAATATGATTATCGGACAGAGAGGGCACCAGATGCCGTACAAAATTGTCGAATGAACTTTCTGCTTTAACAACAAAATATTTTAATCAGTTTGGCTTCGGCTACGATGAGATATGATGATATCAGTGGATAATGTTGATGATAATTCAGTGTGATAATTGACAACAATAACAGTTTGTATTAATTAATATTGATGATTAACGGTAACATTAATAATAATAATAACAATATGAATGATAACAATGAATGATAATGAGAGCAGTTGTTTGTTCCTCAAAAATTATTCTGATTTCAGGTTGACGAACCACTTTATGCGTCTGTTCACAAACGAAACGGTCATCGATCGTCAACAGGTGCTGACAGTTGGGTGTAGGAAGTATGAAAATTGTATTAATAATAATGATAATAATAATAATGGTTGTTACTATTACCACGGTTGCTCTTGTTGCTGTTACAAATGAAATTATTGATACATCCTATTTGAACTACATTGTATGCCTATCATAAAAAGATTGCCTATCGACAATTGGTTCCCACGCATTTGACCATCTTGTTTTATGGTAGCAAGTGAACCGCCATGTGCTTCAGCTAAAATATAAAATGGTGGTTGGGGAGGATGTTGAATTGTCCGTTGACCAAATATTTCTCACCCATCGTGAATTGATCAATCCCATTTGCGATTCACTTTTTAAGGATTATTTATTTGTCATTTTTGAGTGATGATTTTCTGCTGAAATAGATTTATTGAATCAGATTTGTTGTTAGTTGAGCATCACTAAATTAATTGTATTTTACAATCTGTTTTGTATTCAGTGGAATAGTTATAAATTATAGGAAGCATTTTCAAAAAAAGAACAAGTTTGAAGTTTTCAAAGAATTTAGTATGAGAAAATATAAATTTCGGTTAAAATCATCAGCAGATTAGTACTTATAAAAGTGAACGTCATAAATCATTAATACAAACCGATCACAATTTTTAATGGGCGTACTTCAGACGTCTATTAAAAATATAGTTGATCGATTGATGGAATCAACGAGAAATTATTATGTTATGATCATTGCTGCCATTACTTAATTATTTGGTTGTGTGTTTTGTTCCATTGCTATAACCCGGTTCAAAATATTCTGTATCGTTTCTACGCGCTTTGTTCAATCATCTATTTTTTGAAGCTTTGTTCTGACTATATTATTTCTATTTTTTATCTTTTTATCCGTTCTCCATCACTAAAAACAATATTGTTATCACTATTATTGTTGGTGTTGTTATTGTTTTATATGGTTGTCCTTCGTTTACCGTATCATTCATTTGTTTGTATTCGCATATATTCATTCGTTTTGAATCCGTCTTGCACATCTCGATCGCATCGAAGTTTTCCTGGGGGATCAGTTTTTCGGAAATTTAATAATTATAGCCGTCTTTTCCGCATAGATTACATTATTGTTGAATTGCGCATTGGAATGTGCAATTCGATAGGCAGTGAAAAGCTGACGAATTATTCGGAAATGCTATTGGGAGTGAATTGTTTCTGGTAGTGCAGATGTGTTCTATTTCTTCTTGTTCATTCGTCTTGTTTTTCATTTCGCATTCCATTTCACTTAAACTCCGTCATTTTGTCAGTTTTATTCTCTTTCCACGTTTCTGCAGCACTGTAGAGCTTGCATATATTCGTAACGCATATTGAATTACGTTCAGTTCTGCGTTTATTGTTGTTACTTTGTTACTGTTATTATTTTTTAAATTATCATTATTAATGGTCTTATTATTGTTAGCATTATTATTGTCGTTGTTGTTGAATTTTGTCGACCACTTTTTAGGTAATTCATTTGCAATTTATCTGTCTAATTGCACTTTATAAATTAGTGCCCTGTTTTGAGTTTTGAATTGACATCAGATTGTGACTGAATATTTGAGATGTTCATCTCATAATTCTTCTCTTATTTCTGTTCCGCTAAAGGTATAAACGTTGAATTGCAGCATCTCAACACATTTAAGTCATCAATTGTAACATGATTTTTACGTGATTAACTTCAGCATATCTCCCTGGAAAGCTGCTGTTGTTATCCCTGATTGAGGTTCTTTGATTGCTCGTTTTAGCCACTTATAAGTCGACGTTATCGTCGAAAGTAATCGCTTTCATATGACTGGGGTTGGATGACTGCATTATTATGGAATTGTATGATGTGTTTGTTTGTTTATACTTGCTAATGGAATATTATTTTTTATCTGTATCTCTTTTGATCGGTTTTTAATTTTTTAAACGAATCAATCCAAATTTTTGCGTTTTTGTTCTACGTTCAGAACGCTTTTGTCATGTTTTGATTTGATTTATCTCTCAGAAATGTTCTTTTTTGTGAAGTTATTCTCGAATAGAATAAATTTCTTGCAGTTGCCAGTTTGCGTATTGTTACTGCAAGGTGGCAACATCTTTCTTCTGTCTCTTCTATTTCTATGCGCAAAGAAGAGAATGTCCGAGATAGATGGTGGTTATTTACATCGCTTATCACAATACATTGGCTATTATATGAATTTGGGGCACTTCCTCTTTAATTGTATGAAGTGAACTTAGTACTGATGTCAGTTACACTGATTAAGAAGCATCTTACGAAGCAAAATAATCTCATTTTATTTTCCTACTTGCGTATCTTAGTTTATTTGATTGAATGACAAAACTAAATTGAACATTGCTTGCTATCGGTTGAATGAGAAATAATGAGTTTGTGTTCATGTGTGTTGACAGGCTAACTGCTTCACTTCTAGATATAAGAGAATTATATAGGCAGCTTCGACTGGGGAAAGTTATGATTTGAATTAGACGATAATTTTAATCTGAATCAGTAAACTTGTCGGTAATGCCGAAACAAATGCAGCAATGAAATAAGATTGGCGTATTTACGGTTCAAAATGCAATGAATAATCTCGGCGGATGTGTAATTTTTTAAAGAATGTGTCGTGCCGTGAAAATATAGCTGATATGTGGATGGAAGCCGTCGGATGCATCATTGCTGCATCCAACCGCTTTTGGACTACATATGCAGTCATTCGGATCCGTAATGAATGCACAGTTTCTGAAAGGTTATGCAACGAACTCCTCAACAGTTTGCGTACTGTGATTCCGTTGCCTCATCACCTCTAGAATATACACACTCCACTAAGACGATATGTGTTGTTGGCGAGATGGTGGTATACGGTAAGCGTTGGTGGTCTGCTGCGAGTGTTTGAGCAGTTTTTGATCTGAATGAGTATGAACTGAGAGTGCATGAATGGCTGCTGTTGCGTTTCCAATTTTATTGTTCGGTCATCATCCAGTGAAGAATTTTAACAGATATAATTTCTGATTGGTCCAATTAAAACATCTAAATTGTGGATGCCATCATTTAAGAACATTCTACTCTATCCGATCCTTATAAACTATTACCGGAACTTATCCAGTCATCCGTATCTATAGTGAATCCATCCAACAGTGTAGCGTTGAAGAATATTTAAGTGGAACAGCGAATTCGTTATCAGTTGGCATGCTGTAGTTTTGTTGGCACATCTCTTTGCCCATATCCGTTAAACGGTTCCGGTTCATTTGTTGTGTTACTGAGCTAGAGCATTGATGGTCTGTTTGAGAGGTCACTTACATGTACTGTAATAGACTTGTATTCGAGTTGCATGATTGTCTTCTGTGACGAAAGGTAATCCTCGCTCAAGTTCGTGATATTCTACTTGAAATTCAGCTCGAAACAAGCCGAATACTTACCATTATTGAACTCTTATGGTGATGAAGCACTCATTTCAGCCCCGTTCGACGATATACCGTGTTGTATTCATCGTTCAGTATGGGTATTGAAGCGTTATTGGTGGAAGAATTTGATGCGGCTCATTCAGAAATCACCTATTCCTTCAGCGAACGACATTCAGAATTATTATTCATCCTTAAATCCGTTCCTTCATCTGTTTTTTTCACCGAAGGTTATCGATTCTGGTTCATTATGATTTGGATGTTTTGTTTAATTAAGCTGATTGCTTTTGAATAGTTACGGTATTTTATTACTAATATTAGTTGTTATGATAATAGTGGTGATAATGATAACTGTTATCATTATTATTATTATTCTTATCGTTATCGTTAAGTGGCGAGAAATTTCATCAACGAGGCATCGAATAAAGCTCGCTTATGATAATAATCACACAACCAGGGCGCTATAAACAGGCGCACAGAAGTTAATAATATGCACACATACACACAAGTACATAAAATACAAATAACGAAACACAAACAAAAACAGCTTTTAAATCATTCATGTATGATGATGAAATAAATAACCGTCGAGAAAGATGCTAAAAGTAATCAAAATCGTAATAAAAATATGTAATTTCTGTTATGAATAAAATCATTTCAACAAATAGGCAAAAAAGAAGTCAAATAAAATAACATCAATTGAAAACACCACAAAACAAATAAACAAACAATCAGTAGACAAAAAATACACACAAGAAAAGGCTCCAAAAGAGGATCACAATCAAACTTTGATGGGTATTTTCGAAAATGAGTCATATCAAAAGAAGTGATAATGAATAATAAATTGACAAATACAGTTAGCAGTAAAGAAATAAATAGTGAACTGATAAGTAAACGTATTCGGAATCAGTTAGTCAGTGAATGAGTTGCGAGTCGGTCAAGTTTGGAAGAATGGAACGATGAAGTAAATAGCGAATTGAAGTGCTTTGAATAGCACCATCAATAGTTATCACTATCAGTGTTGTATTACGATTAGAAGAAGCATTATCATATCGTAATGTAATCATTTATACACGTTATTATCATCATTTTGTGAGAATGGTTTAGGAGGCATGAAAAATGAATTGCGTTGAGTACGGTGGCTGTGCACCAGCGGTAGCTGCCACTGCAGCTGGTATATAGGCGGCTGCATGTGTTGGTGGAATATGAAACTTCATCGCGTCACCATAAGGATTCGGCTGTGGTTTCAACATATCGTAGAACGGTGGCTCAGGCGCTAGTCCACGCTTCTTTCCTTTTGATTTAGTGCTAATCTTGCGATTACGCGTTTGAATTCCATCTTTCTTCATCGAAATGGGTCGCGAAATCTGAAATTTTACTCAGTTTGTTTGTTTGATTCATTATAAGGAATTAATTGAGGCAAGACAAGGTTCCAGTTAAAAGTGAATTGATCGTTTATGAATTGTGCTCATTTTGTTTTTTCTGTTGTTGTAGTCAAAAGTTCTGTGATATAGCATTTCATATGTATGCATTTGATTATTATCAGTCGTGTAAACTTGTATTTGCAGGAATCACGATATTGCTACATCATAGTCATTGAATATGGCATATTGCTATGCAGAAATATTGGTGTATTGGTTTATAAAATATTAACAAACGGTATATTCGTATGTAGAGATATTGCTATATGAAAGATTTTAAAAAAAAAGAAATATTGCTATACGAAATATTAGAAATATTAGCAAATAGTATATTGTATTTAAAGATATTGATATGTTAGTATATAAAAATATTGGTATATTGATATGTAAGAATATTGGTACATTGGTATATAAAAGTGTTGACATATAAACGTATTTATTTGATAAACAGAAATATTGGTATACTGGTATACAGAATATTAGCAAACAATATTATTGGTATACAAAAATTGGCTGATGTACCCATAAACAGTGGTATATAAAATACAGGTTGGGGCAAAAAGACCTGATACATTTCTAGATGTAATGAAATCCCAATCAGCAAAATTCATCAGCAATATCAACAAAATTCTTTTTTGATGTTTTATTTCCCAAATCTAAATATCATTAGGTTAATTTTATTTCGTTTTAAAAAGTACTTCAAACAAATGTTTTCCGTTATTGGCTACACACTGATTAAGACGTTTGCGAAAGCTTTCAATAACTCGATGGATTATGTCACATGGAATGGCAAGAATTTCTTGCTGAATGGCATGTTTCAATTGTTAAGGAGACCGAGGCATGTTTTTTATTATAACAATAATCATACGATTATGTCTATTAACCGCTTTTGTGTATACCAAAATAGTGTATGTATCGGCAGTTGATATTATATTTTAAACCGATCATAAGAAGACAGTTTCTGAACTTATTGAAAGAGTTTCAGTTAAGTTGTGAGCGATAGATCACTACTTTTAATTCATGCACTTGGCTGAATGATTGTTTGTCGTTTCGGACAGTAGCTATATTCAGTTAATATTCATTTGCGTGCATTTTCTCGCATCCATCACTAAATCTATAATATAAAATAAAAATGATAATGATTTATTACAACCAGTTGGCGCGATTAGCTCAACCAAAATTTTGGTTTCCTACCAATTGAGTTATGTTTTTGTTTGTCTCACTTCATTCATTATTTACATATGATTATGTCTATTAACGCGTTTTCTACGTGTTTTCACTTATGAATTTCAATAGTCCATCCGACGTGTTCTTCCTGAACCCCTTATTCACGTTATCTTGTTCATTCACCTGTGACGCAGTTTTCTCCCTGCTTAAATCATCGATCCGTTTTCCGCCATCGATGATATTGATTAGCATTTATTTTTCTATTATAATAAATCTAGCAGCAACTCTCTCTATGTGTACTGCTCTAATTAAAATAGTTGTGATAGTATTGCTCTAAAATAGTTATGATATCAGCAGTTTGAGAAGTTATACCGTGGAACAATAATAGTTAACGGGTGATAACTGAGGCGAATAAATGAACAGACTAAAGAGGTTGACTAAAGAGGTGGACTGCAAGCGTTCGAAGGTTATTGGCAAAAAAATGTTGAGCACATTGGTAGTGCTGACAAGAATGATGACAAAGAAGGAGGTTGTTCTTTGAAAAGGATGAGAAGGAAAAGGCTTGATATGTTAGGAGGTAAAGAAAGTTGAGGTAGAAAGCGGTGGGTACCAGCCAAAAGAAGTGAATCTCTCAAGATGGTCATAGTATGCTAGGATGAACTGTTTGGAGAACGGTCGATGGATAGATGGGTCGTCGCTTTGAGAAGATAAGATCTATTCGTTGTGATGATCTGTAAAACAAGCACCACGAGGTGCGTACAATATTTATGCGTGTGAGTGACATAATAACTGAAAACGGCAGACCGTTGTACCATCAGATATAAGTATCATGATGGTATGACTGCACAAGAGATATAAACAAATATCAATGATATGATTATGAATTATATGGGCAATGTGATGTCATTTTTAGAAGATAACTTTTAATGAAACAAATATAACAATCAAAGCATGTTTAGCGGTTTAAATAATTTGTATTTTTTGAGAGAAAGCGAAAAATTCTTGCTCCTCATCAAACTTTTCATCGGTAAAAGATTGATTCCAATGGTTGTTCATAAAGTTGGGATAATCCTGGTCTTTTGAATTAGATAGCAAATATACTGGTATTTGTCCGAATATTAGTGGTATTGCTGGTAATGGTAAATTGGCATTTATTTAATTGAGTTATTAGACGATGGATGTTAAATATGAAGTTATTTACACATTTACTGCATTCATCTGAACAATACTATTGCAAAAACGATAGTTTTATGGGCTGAGCTCTAGACAAATAAATGAAAAAAGATGCATTTCGGTGAACATTTGAAGGAAGAGGATGAACAGTAGATTAATGTTTAGAGTTTAAGAGATTCGCGAAGTGAATTGCTCAATGACTGTGAATGATAATAGTAATGTTGATGATAATGATAATAATAATGGTCATTATTGCTGCTACTATCCTTACAATGATGTTGATTGGCAAAGAAACAAATGAGTGTGAAGTGTGAAGAACAGCTGTTCAAAACATCCATTTAATCGGGCAGCTGTAATTGCCGATTTTGTATGGATGTGAGTGATGGCTGACTATAAAGTGAGATATCGCTCACAGTAGGATAGGTAGATGTAATACTATTATCATTATTACTGATTGCAGCAAATGTTAAAGTGAGTGAGTGCATAAGTACAGAGACTGCTTAAGTTCCGGCTCTTGGGCATCTTAACTTTAGGCATATGTCAGCATGTTTGAGAAATACCTAGTCGTTGGGATTGTTCTCCAAGCACTTCTAGTTGTTTTTGCATGTGGTGATACTGCTAGTTGGATATCTGGTATTTGAGATTGCATAAATGAATGAAAAGGTGAGAGATTTTGTAACCGTATGTGTGTGTAAATATGTTCAAGATTTTGTGAGCTAGAGCCAATGAATAACTGATTGAAATGGAGGTGAGGTTTGGAATAAGGTGAATTAAGTGTTAAAGACGGCACGATGTAGAATGTTTCAAATGATCTATTGTTCAAACTATTTACCTAGAATGGAGCGAATTGATTTTGCGAAAATATTGGTAATTAAGAAGAATGAGGGAAATATTATATAGTGTTCGAGTAGTGTTATGAATGAAGTGGAGTGCATATAAGTATGAATAAGTAAACGAATGAATGAATGAAAGAAAAGATAATAGATTAGTGGATTGAAGCCATAAAAGTTGAACTTACATTATGAAGTTTATGATAGAGGCCACATGCATTACAAACTGGTTGACCATGAGCATTTCTCCTCCATAGCGTTGTATTATTTGTTTTACAATTAACACATTCAATACCCGTCCTCTTCTGTGCACTCTGCAAAACATTTCCAGTAATTAACGTTGAGACAAGAAATTCACGATTCAAAATTCATTCCTTTTTGTACACATATATGAGCATTTATATACGGAACAGTTATCTTAATTGGTTGCGTAGAAACAATTATAATACAAGAAGAATTTTGATTGGCTTTGTTGCTGATATAATTTATCAGTACAGTTGATCATTTTCATAAATTATTCAATGAGGATTCATTCAAATTTTAATACATTTGATGCAATTTTGTGCTTGTCATCAGATGGCTACTTCTTAGTTGACAATATATTTTCCCAACAGATTCTATCATTTCTTAAAAACTTCAACCCTTACTGAATCATGACATTCATTCAGAAAGAGGTAATAGTTTCAAACGTGACACATCAGACAGTTCAATTTAAGGCTTTTGATAGTTCAGTATGCCGTCATGGCTATTTCTTGACTTATCAACAAACGATGATTCAAATTGTTTGATAAGATCGAATTTGATTGATGCCGTTTTCGTGTGAGTTCAATCACATCATTCGAAAATTTGTAGAGACTACATGGTGAATGTTTGTGATACAGATGATCGCTGATGAATGTTAGTTTACTGTATGAGTGTGGATACATATGTATATGTTTATTTATGATGTGAAATTATTAACGATTACATGCACACTGCAAATGTTCTGTACTTATCATGGATGTGTGTTTTACTTATAGTGATAATACTAATGGTAATAGAATATTCACTACATATGTATGTGTAACATGTTCGGTTCATGATCGTACCATATCGAAAAGTTTAAATAATATTGAAGGTTGTATCGAAAGGAACACAAATCACGAATATGAGTTGTGTTTGATGTGTTACGCCATTTTGTAGCAGTTGATCAATTGTGAAGAGATGATTTCAGTCAATATTGTTGCTTTTGTTGTGGATGGATATTGCTTGTTTATGTGAGTTTGATTATTAGTGAACTGTTCATTTGGTTGGTTGACTGCTGGAGGATTACGGGGATGGAACGGATGAATTAATGAGTTTGTAAGTGAGCAGTAAATAAAATGGAATTGAATAAAAAGAAGTGAAGAAGCGAAATGAATGAGAAGAATTTGTGTTTGTAGGTGGGCGAGTTGATGTGAAAAGGGACAGAACGAGTAGTACCCGAAGTGAATGTAGGCATGAGATTGGAAAGTAGATAAGTGAATAGATAAATGAATGATAGGTGAGGAGTAGATAAGGATCTAGATGGAATTGTGATGTGACTCGATGATGATACACGACGAGGAGGTTAAATGTTGCTGCGATTTATTTGTTGAATGCAATGTGGAGAGTAGGATGGGAATATGCACGAGTTAGATGAAGATGATGCCGCCACCATCGTGGTACATGATACCGTGAGGCCATGATGCATGATTTAATGTGCGAATGAACTAATTGTTGGAGAAGAAATCAAGGTTGGATGAACTTAGATCGGCTAGAAGATAGGAGAAGAGTATCAAGTAAGATGACTTGATTATTGGCTAGGTGGATGGATGGTCCAGAAAAAGAACAAAAGGAAGCATAGATGCATCCCGATGGATTGCATGAATTTTTACGTGAAATTAAATGTGAACGTAATGAAGAGGTTTTCGGTGGATCGTAACTTTCGTATTTGTTCATTTGGCAGAAGGCAGAAAAGTTTGCGGATTTGTTGCAAAACAAACTATTATCCCATCCCTCAAAAATGTATTAATGCTGATAGATGTGTCTTTGTGAAATAAATTTCTCTACAATCCAATTTGATGAGTGATGGATTAGAGCCACAAAGTGTGCGTATTCTGAATTAAGAGTTGATAAAAAATGAAATGATTTATGTATTATTGATGTTATTTAAGTAGAATTGTCAATGCTCTCACTTATTCTAGAGTAAAAGAAAGCAATTAAACGTTTTCTATCGCGAACTAGTGTACCTGGATTTTTATTCTTGTACTGCATCGAAAGGACATCACAAACGTATGAGTGAGGATGAATGAGTAATTTTTTTATTATCATATTTTATACGGTATTCCTAGTGCCTAGCTGTAATTGCACCTATATTGGATTTATCATGGCTAATCTTTACCTCTAAATGTGTGCATATGCTGGATATAGATATCTTCAATGCGTCTCTTTCTATTTATATGTGCAAATGCAACCTATTTCCATGTATACCTGAATAAGTTCAACTCTACGATCCTATTGAACAGTTTGTTTTGTGCTGTGAATAGATAAGAATCGCGTCCTTCAAATGAATTCGATTAAATTAACGAACAAATAAATGATAGTGCTATTGCATAATGAATATAATATAATATTGCATATAATATTATTGCTGGCCGAATTCGTCCATTCTGTTCGTTTTGCTTTGCTGTCTCTTTGAGTGCAACCGTTCAAGCACCACTGTCAACACGATTAAAGCAATTAACAAAAAACAGAATGGAATGATGGATGAATGAAGTGAACGTGCAACGAAACGAGTGAAATTTCGAAATTAATCGAGGAATATTGTCATGCAGAGAACACCTCACGTAGAATTTATTCACTCCTTCACTCAATATAGAAAAAGCTGTGTAAAGGTAGGAACGTCAGTGTAGAGATAAGAACCGTTACTCCTATGATTAGTTAATTCAAATTTAAATGCAATTAATCACGAAAAATGTTATCTTTTAGTTGTTGCATTTTTCACTTCTGGATGAACAACAATAGACACATGTACTATAGCATAATTTTGTGTTGGTAAGTTAATAGCAATATTACAGTATACTGTTGGAAGGAACACTTTAGGGAGGTGAGTTGTGGATGTATTGATGTGCTTTTAATGACGAAGGAAGAGTTAATGGAAATATACTGATTAAGTAATTATGACTTTGATAAACTATTTATAAGCATGAGTGTCTGTAATTCGATAAAGTGGGTTTAGTGAGTGAGCTGATTGATATGATTGCGTAATAGCAACAATAATAATAATATTGTTATTGATGATAATGAGATATCAATAGTGATGTTAGTATACCAATAGCAGTAGAAGTAATGATGGATTATATTGTATTACAAGATTGTAATCCAAACGTTCATCTCGTATTAGGTGATGTAATCATAATCCGATTCAACTCGAGCAAGTAATTGATATGACTCTTATTAAACTATCATATGTTTGAGGTGTAAAGTGTAAAGTGCATGAAAGTTTACATTATTGTTGTTATTTTTGAGAGCGATAAATGAAGGTGAGTAGAAAGCAACTTGGAGTTGAGAGTTGAAACTGAGAAGATGTGTTTATTCGAGAGGATAGCGAAGATTAGACACTTTTTTAGGTGTGAAATTATAATTGGATAGAGAATAAGTTGAGAATTTCAAAAGATTGCGAGCATGGAGAAAGCACAATGAGTGAAACTGCACAGAAGAAAACGAGTGGGAGATTATCAGTGAATTGATTAACAAATCGGTTTTGAAGGGTTTAGTGGTTATGTGTGAGGTTAAGAGGAGGTACAGTGAAGACGGAAAGATGAAACGCAAGGAATATTTAGTGCGATGCAATATAACGGTGCGTTTAGCACTCAAAACGGTGACCTCTGCAAATCTACAGTATCCATCAACGCAGCTATGAATGAACGAGCGCAGCATAAAATTTCATGATGATAGACAGACATAGAGACGGATGAATGCTTATTTTTGTAAAAGATATTTTTAGTCATTGTTCAAATGCAAAAGCATAATGTTTATGTATTTGCATGTATATGATTTCATATGAGTGAATCCTGAACGATTTCTGTGCGAAATGTACGTATAAAAACATACATAAGTAGAAACATACATGCGTATCGCTTGCAGGTATTTAGAAGAAACTCTGATATAAGTTGTATGTGCGTGCACGCATGAATATGGATAGTAAAGGAGTTTCATACTTGAAGCATTATGAATCTGAAGGAAAGTTTCGATTGTTCCTGGAAAAAGGTTCAACAAACACCTACTTGTCTTTTCTTTGGTTTAACAAGTGGACGATTTTGACCATTCATTTTGTGATACAGTCCACACGCATTACACAGATAATGACCAGTTCCATCACGTCGCCACAGCGGCGTTTGTACAGCACCACAATTCACACATTCACGTCCTTCAGCTGTAAACATAGCTATAACAACGATCAGTATTGGTAATAATGAGAATAAGAATAGTGATAATAATGAAAATAATAATGATCCTGACAACTGTAATACTGTATAATGGATAGTGGATGAGAATATGAGCTACTAAAAATTTATTAAGTGTATGAATAATCAGAATATGTTGTGAAGGAAATTTTTTGAGCATGTGCAACTAACTGATTTAATTATTTTTACATGTCATATCACTCGCTTATCACCATCACCTTCAAACCAGCAAAATGCCTAGATCTATCAGCCACTGATACACCCATTCAACCAACAGTAAGTAATAATGAATTAATTAGTCGATGAATTTGTTTTCCTTGAAACTTACATGCTGTATTCCTCGGTTTCGATCTGGACGTAACGTTACCGTTGAGAGCTCCACCAAGTGTACCATTAATGTTATTAGTACCTGAGGTAGTACCTCCTCCACCACCCGTTCCAGTAGCACCATTAGCCGAACCGTTAGTGGAACGTGATGAGGTGCTAGAACCAACTGATGACGAGCAAGCAGATGCGGGTGCTGAGAGACGACTTTGGGCAGCTAGCAAATTGGCACCGTGCAGTGGCGCATAATAGTCTGCGGCAGTCGCTGAGTAGGCTTGATAAGCACTTTGTTGGAAAAAATTCTGAGTAGTTGACTGATTCTGAGCTGAAACTTAAACTTAGATGCATTTATGATTGATTGATTTATTAGATCATTGGAGGTTTACTGCGTTTGCAATATTGTATATAGTTGATTATTTAGTGGGAGAAGTTAATGAGGAAAATACTCAGGGTAATGCAAATGCAAAAGAAATTGATGTGAGTAAGACACGGATGTTTTTTGGGGATGACAAATTGAATGAGTAAATGAACGTGGGTAAATGTGGACAAATGGATGGAAGTGATAAACGATATGACCGAATAATATTTCAGATAAAATATTGGATACTTTATAACGAGTAGATATTGATTGAGTGGAAATAAGGTTGCGAAATCGTATTCGAAAGAATCAGTGAAGATAGAATGGGATTTGAATTAGATTGAATCAATGAGGAAAATGGAATAGGTAAGTGAGTGTTCATGCTTATGCTACTGAGGGCACATTGTGCGTTTTTACTGCAGTATTGCTTAAGTGAGCGGTGATTGGGTGAAGAGAGGGAATAAACTGATTCGATTAAGTTGATGAAGTATGATTGAGTGAATTTGCAAAACGAACCAACAAACATTTGCGTTGGATCAGTGATAACGGTAGTTGGTTGTGTAAAGCCAAGATCGGTGGCGGTACTCGACGAGCATGGTGAGGCAGCTGAAGCAGTTGCTGCACTTAACGCAGCGTTCGTTGAGGAATTTGTGGCGGCAGCACTGGGATAGGGCCATGTTTGAAAGAATAATCCCGGATAGAACTGACCACTCGCACCTGAAGTTAGAAATCAGATTAAATCTGCTTCGATTTGATTTGATTAAAATGTGATCAAATAATTGAGTGCTTAATTGTTTTTTTATGTGTCTCTTCGTGTATTCTAAAAGATACATGATTTTATTTAATTGTAACGTATTTTCTACGTAGATATGGCATAATGCACATTGTTTCCACCTCTGTCATAGCGTAGCATAAACTAATCATCTAGTTATTGTTTGTGACATTAATAAGCGACTAAGAATTAAGAAATGAGTAGCTATAATCATTACTGTTAATGAATTGTTGTGTTGCTGCTACTGCTACTTTTTATAGTCATTGTTATCACTTTCAGTAATAGGTGTCGTCATTAGGTGCTTTTATGGTCATGCTTATCACTATCATTATTATCGTTATCAGCATACATATTTCGTCTGTGTTCAAATAGAGAACGTGCAATATGCACTAATATTCCGGTTGGAATGAACCGGAATATTAGTGCATATTGCACGTTGGCGAAAAATTTTTTGTTGAACAGAATTGAGCAATTGAACATATTGAACATATTGAACAAATTGAACATATTGAACAAAATAAAAGTTGGCGAAAAATTTTTTGTGGCTTTTCATAAGAGAAATTGAGCAGCTGGCGAACAATCATAAATTCATGGGTACGATCGTGTAAGTGAGTGATTACTGTGACTTACCGTATCCATCAACTTTTGGCGTGCTCTGATAGTAGAGTTGACTATTTGACGAAGGAGTTGTGTAGAACGTAGACGGTTTTATGGGGGAGAAAACCTGAAATAGAAATTGAAGCATTTATTGTTTGGTTTTGATCCCATCTTATGATGCGTTGGTTGTTGCTGTTTTTTTTTTCAAATATAAGATGAAGAAAACGACAATAATAATATTAATGACAGTGTGAGCTGAATGTGTGAAGATTGTTGCAAAAATTTATTGATAATTGAAATAGATTAAGTAATTACTAAACACACATTTTATTCATCAATGATCTTTCAATTATTGCTTTGTTTAGTGAATGCCATCCCAAATGGTTTTAAAAGGGATTTATTAATTACTTTATTTGGCTGATGAGGACAGAATTTTTTAAAACCTCATTAGGTTGTCTGAAGAGTTCTGAGGAGGGAAGTAATGCATTGTTTTGAAAACAAATTTTGTATAAAGAAATTCTTTTCGTTGCATTGTGGTTTTCAGCGGAACGAGGCGATTTGTGAGTAAATTTGTTATAAGCAATAAAAGATGTTATCACAATGGACATATGATACTAGTTGTTTAGTGCTGTAGTACTAATAATAATAGTTGTAAGGATCGTTCTCATTTGAATTGTTTATTTATAAATGCTATAAGAATCTGTTGATATTATCTGATACTGACATATTTGGTGTGTAATAGAATACGCATGAGCTCTAATAAGATCAGTATATAGTTCCTTTATAAAACGATGTTTCTTTACGGATATTTGTATTGTTATGATGATAATTCGTCAGTATCATTCATTTTACATGTTACGAGTGCGATGAATTATCAGATTTTATTAAATTAATTAGAGATTTCAGTGAGGCGTGCAGAGGAAATGCGTATTTGTTGAGGAGAAATGGAATGATATGTTGAAATGAATTGAAAATGAATGTGAACCCTACACTGTCTTCATTTTGAACGTTTTCATTATCCTGGTTAACTTGATTCATTTGTTGGATTGCCGAGAGGTCGGAAACGGGTACAGATTGATCCGCATCGATGTTGTTCTCGGGTAACGGTTGCACCGGTTGATAGAGCAGCTCTGAGTGACCGCCAAGTTGTCCAGGCTGGAATTTATATTCCATGCGGCACTATGGGTCTTTTTGTGTAGATATCTGTTGCTCACTGAAAGTTTCACAGATTCAAATGATAGTATACAAAAGCTGTAATGAAATGTCGCATAATTGAGTGAATGAATGAACGAATAAATATGAGACATCAAATGCACAAATCTATAACTTTATATCCATCCGGCTGAACGAATTCATTATAGCATACATGAAAAACATATTACATACTTGAAAATATGCACACAACTTAATATGTACGATGTGCTTCCATTGCAATATCCTTATCTGCTATCTGCAAATAGGCAGACACCTATATCAGTTTCACACGCTCAGTTATGATCTTTTCATTTTCTTGTTGACTGATGTGGTTATTGCTGGCATCTGAACACCCTCTTTTTACCGTCACTTTCACTGTTCTCTTATCACTTTTAATATCTGCATAAAAGGTTGATCAAAATAAGTGAGTAAATGAATGAATGGAGCTTCAAATTGACTGAACAGATAAATGTAAGCTTATATGGGATTGGCGTATAATAGAGATTTATACATAGATCTTTTGATCTCATATATTATATGATAGGCAAATAGAACCGTCTATCCATCTCTAAATACAATACGTGATATATGGAGATAAATGGATGAATGAATGAGTATATTGTCACATACGTAATGAAGTAAAAATCACAGCTGTCTGTATGCTTGTTTGTGGCTGCTTAGCTTTATGACGCTGCATGATAGCAGTTATATTGATAGTGACAATGGGGCTTTAAGTTGGTTCGTTGTTCAATCATGGTGCTAAATAGATGGATGAGTATAATATGTAGATGTATGGTTTATGTATGTGCATTCGTTTATAAATGCTTCTTATTATGATTACTAATATGCAGATTTGCATTTAACACAACCATTTTGAAGACATCATTCATTCCGTTCTCGATTCGTCATTCATTCATGCAGTGACTTAGTAGCAGCGAATATGAAAATGCCAAATTACATAGCCGATTGAACAGGAGAAACTTGGTAATGAAAAGAATTAAATTTGGTATTGATGTGTGATGGGTTTCGGCTGATTGGGAGACGTCGAATGATGCTAACAAAAAGGAAGGGAGAATGAACAAACAACGAAGTGTTGGATATACGGAGAGAAGGCTGAAATAAGGAAAAGTAAGGAAGAAGAATGGAAGAAAAAAAGAGGAGGGGGGGGGGGTAGATTTACAAGATGGCGAGAGTTTGATTGATTAATCAGAAGGAGCTGATCAAAACTGGCTGCATTAGGCGAACAAATTGAAGTTTTAACACTTAAGTGATCAATATACAACAGTATATAATCAGTCCAATATCATTATCTGTATCGTCATATCACCGCCATATCTTATCATTACAAAGAATCTCCATTCGTTTTTTTCTATGAATCACATCATAAATGATAGGATGTTGCTTCCATATCATTCTTGTTTATGCGTGCAATTCTTGTCGGCCCAACTATTTTTTGAAGATATTTTTTGCAATTTGAATATTAATATGACAGCAATTTTAATCGTATCGTATTCACATGATCTCACACCTACACCTGTGAGCGATCTTTTTCTCCTTACCAACAATACAGCCGCATTTCATTCTGAACGATTCACGTTATTTGTTGTTAAATCTAGCAAGTTTCACTTCTATCGGATGCATCGATTCTATTTGAGAACAGATTGATATCAGAACGAGTGAGTGAGGTTAGTGGCTTTGGTATGTTGAAAGTTGAACGCTGATATGTGAATATCGGTGTACGAGTGTACCAGTAATAATCATACTCAATGGTAAGTAGGACGTAAAGCGGAAGAGTGTACATACTTATTTGCTTGCATTGCGGTAAAGGAGGTGAATGGATGCTGGTGATTTGTGATTAATGAATACTAAATAAAAAAGAGCGAATGCATAAATTAAATAATATGAAATGAGCAGACAAAATTCTTCATTGTAGAACACACTGATGATAATCATAAGAATGAGGATTGTTATTTTATTACCCTTATTGCTCACTGAATGAATGATTTAATTTTTTTTCAAAAATTGGAACGTTATTGGTGTAGAAACGTCGTCAGTGCGGACTCAAATGACTGTAATAACTACTGCTAATAAATATAATAATAATAGCGATAATAATGGATAACAAAATATGAGAAGTATTATGATGTAAGTCAGTTTACCAAAATTTGCTTGTGCGTTCTCGTATGTGGTATGTCTTTAAGTGAATCTGAATGAATGAAATGGAGTGAGAAGGAATAGACTGGAATGAATTGATATTGATGAAGGAATGAAGTGTGAACTGAAATGAGATTTGATGGTTTAGAAACAACTTTTCTGAGATAAACTTCTGATGAATCAGCTTGAGAATGGAGTATATGTGCTTGTGTGTGTGGAAGATGTTCAAATTCGATCGTTAATTAAGAGTGGTGCTTTAAAGAGGGATGAATTGATGGATTGACATATAGGACAGGGCAAGGAAGTAAGTGTAATGATAGGATGAATGAATGGGTGTACGGATGGATAGATCGACGAATTAGGCCCGGCAGATACGAAGCAACGAATGATATTGATGATGGTACTGCATCACTCATACGTTTTTTTTAATTTTGATTTTAGCTATAATAAGAGAATTAACTAATCAGTTTGATTTTTCATTGAATTGTTTATGCATTCGCCTATTTCTTTATGTATGGCAATAAGATAATGGTGACTGGTTGAATTATGACATAAGGTATTTTAGTTGAAATATTTAACGCCATTTCTGTTAGAGACACGAATAGTATCAATAGTAATAACAATAATGTTTCTATTCATGATAATCTGTTTAGATAATCGTTGATGACAATAATGATAATATCGAGTGATGATAGGTATTTTAGTACATATGTTATCGATATAATGTTGACTGGTGCTGCTTCCGTTCCAAATGATACTTGAGGGATTTTCTTGGCTTGGATTGAAACGAATAGTAATGATCAAGCGGAATAATTATGGTAATGATACTCAGTCATTGCGCGTGATTATAATAAAATGAATGAACTGAATTTCTGCGAATGTAGATATCTTGGGTTAATTCTGGCAAATAATAACCAATTAAGGTTTTTGATTGTTTGATGTGCTTACAAGGGAATAAATGTGATTTTGAATGAAATAATATGAAGTGATCGAAAAAACTGTGATTAAATTTCAAACGAATCATGCAGGCTCGCATTGATTGTTTTCTATACAATCTTTTTTTTGATGGTTTGATCTGAATGGTAATAGACGAAAAGATAACTGAAAACGTATATTGAACGGATGATTCAAGATAGTGCATAGCATAATAAATTTGAGCATTCAGTTTAGGTATTCTAGGTTAAGTTCAGGAAAAATAGGCGACGAATTAATAGGTATTTGTTTTAATAATCTGATGTGATAAAATGATAAGAAAAAGCAAAGAGTACAGGCTGTTCCATGTGATAAGATATTTGTATGTATGCATATGCTCATGATAAAATAGTAGCAGTGATAAGCTGAAGTTAAATGGCAAGAAATCTTTCAAAGAACTTGATAGATACGATGATTTTTAGGTGTGAATGAAATAATCGTTTTGAATGAATATAAAGAGCGATTTAGATAGCAGCTACGGCAACAATGAGACGAGACGAAGTCACCGTGAGAGAATATTCACAGCACTACAACATCATAAGTGTTCTGGTTGGTTAGATGGATGTTATTGTGAATATGAATAATAGTTGAAAAATATATCAAATCAACAACATGTAGTAATAACATCATTAAAACGAGTGAGGCAAGATTCGAACTCTGAGGGGAGGGAAGTGAAAAGGCAAAATGGCTCATCTAAGAATACTCATCTATCTGTATCATTATCATTCCTATTAGTATTATTGTTCTTACTATTATTGTTATATTGACAACGGTTCAGCGTAAAGCCCCGGGGGCGGAGTGAGCAACTAACGTTGGCCATCCTCATCTCGTGAGCGCACGCACACTTTCGTTCTCAATTTGATGGACATCCATAAAGGCGGAGTCGTCCTAACTTTCATACCGCCCATTCCAGCAGTTCCTACCAATCAAATGCATCAGCCTTTGTCTCTTGTTCTATTCCTTTCATACGTTATCTTTTTTACTCCCTATCTTTTCTTCTAAAAACTCTCCTATTCCCAGCAACCTCTGCATTGGTCTCTCTCTCCATTTCTCTTTCTCTTGCAATTTATCGTATGCAACGAGCCGTTCGTTAGCAATGAATCATGATGGAACTTAACGAATGCTGAGGAATTTAACTGATAACAATTAATAGTATTCCTATAATAATAGTAATAGTATTAATAAAAGTTTTGTCATTAAACAAGTGACCATGGTATGGCGACAATTTTTGGGGGAAGCAATAAAATTTGCTTAATGGTTACCATAGCATCTGTATTGATATAAAGCTTTAATAATGAATATTCGTTGACAGCAAAAACGAAATAAACGATATTCGCATCATTCAAATGATATTGAAATCAGTGAAGCAATAAGTATCACCGAAGTGCTTTTCGATACCACACTTGTTGAGAATCACATAATCATAATGATGATAGTGATAATTATATTGGCAATAGTAACCAAGATAATGAGTATAATGATGACAAATTGAGTTGAAATAAAATAGGATATGATAAGATCGAGACAAAATAAAACTTAGTTAAGAAGTTGTCAAAATTAAGTTGTTTGTTTGTTGCTTTGTGGAGTTTACTATTGTGAAGTAAAGCATTGTTAGCATACTTTAGTCTTTGCTCTTTCTGGTTTTTATTTTGTGTTCATTCCTCTCAAATAAGCTTTATTTTTACACACTAATCTCTCGTCAAACCTCCGTTAATCTCGTTTCTTACAATCAGCGAAAGTCGACTGAAATCATTCGGTCATTATGAGGAGGAATGGAGTCAGCTTAAGAGGTTAACAACACCAGCTAGCGGCAGCCAGTTCAACCAACCAACCAACAATCCGTCATCAGTTTT